CACTCTTTCATCAAATAACTGTAAACTGGCACCATACATTTAGTTTGTTTTCCACATATGTCAGTATTTCCAGGTCCATAACCAATGTTCCTGTCTCCTCCAGCTTTCCAATGTCTTTATCTTAGCTCCCTAATTTTTGGTATCAGCGTATCTCTGGATGATGCTTCTTTCCTTGCTTTTCATTCTCAGCCATCTAGAGCCAAGGAGAGGTTTCAGTCTTCATTTTTTTGGGGGGGTATATGCTGGAAAAAATATGTGATGGCAAAGGTGGTAGTTCGCACCTTTTGTTTTGGACATGCCATCCATACTGCACTTGCAACAAAGGTTTTATAAGGCTTTCACTGAAAACAGCAGTCAAAGCCCAGGAACTACCTGATGCCTCCTCCTATGCCAATACCCCAGCAATATTTCTCCAGTATTACAAATTCCTACTGTCACTTACTTCCATGAAAGTATAGCAGCTCCTGCTAGGGACCTGGGGGACATTTAGCAGCATGACTGGTCTTTTTTGACAACATTTCTTAATATGTCTGAAATTTAAAAAAAAAAAAAAATAGAGTTATAAGGTGTACCCCCAGCTCATACACTTACTAGCTGTTTTCTAGAGCTGTGAAACTACTAGATGCCAAAGCACCTTACAAAGCAGTTACAGTTATATCTGCCTCCCTCTTTCAGAGTTAAAGCAATATAAAATGTGCTCTTCAAGAGACCAACTAAGTTGCTGGAAAACGAAATTATTTCCTGAAGAGCACCCCGCATAAAATCACAGCAAACCTGATGTAGTGTTCTAGACAACTCTGCCTCTCTCATTAGCCTGGACACATTTTTGTTTTGAGCAGAAATAAAGATGGTACTCAAATCTAGGAGTCCACAGAAAACATTTTATATGTCAGTTTTGTTCTACTCTGTCCAGACAGAAATATGAATTTTTAGTTCTCCACCATTGTCAAAATTATATTTTTTACAGTCATTGCCTTTAAGGATAGTGCACAATGTGTGCTAATGGTCTCTTTTTGCAATAATATTAGAACGACTTCTTTAACATTATACAAAAGAGGTCCACTTCAGATTGTCTCATTCCTCTGATTAACAGATATGTGAGACTAGTATATTATTAAGTTTCTCTTAAGTCTGTTATTATACCTTAGACTATCTTAAGATGAGTCAAACCCAGCTCTGAGTCAGAGTTTCACCTGTTTGCATTAGCAGGGAGTAAGGTCAGAGCAGGCAAGAGAGGGTTTCTAGATGGAGGAGACCAGCAGTGACCTCAAGTACAGCAGAACAAACAGCACAGTTACTAGCCCCCTACAAGTGTCCTTTCTTGGTCTTGAGATGAAATACTCCTCAGGGAGCTTCTCACAGCTTTCAGTGCTCCTGAAGACAGCATTAGTGTCTCATTGGCCTACAAACCTCCACACCACTTTCCAGGAGTGTAAGTTAGGGTTTGGGTAAGAAGGGTTTTAGCAGCACAAAGTTTAGCCAAATATTACTTTACAAAATTCTCAGCTTCCTTTGTTGACAGCTGATATGGCAGGATCTGGAGGCATTACTTGAAACAGCATTTCCTGCTGTATCTCTTATTCATAACAATAGTCAACATGAATTATTTACCTTTAAGCTCATTGGTTTTTTACTGACAGCTTATTCCTCCAGGAGAAAACGATTATTTTTGGCTCAGAAATTCAGATGTAGGCCATCATTCCTTACCAGGGGTTTCTTGTAAAATTTCAGAGCAGGCTGTAGGACCAGCTGTGTCATACTGCAGTCTCACAATTTGCATATCTCTGTAGGAACTCACTCACTGTCTGTTTGAATCTTCTTCATTTCATCAATTGAGTCTGATCTGGGTCACCACAGAGTATTTTGGAGAAAGCCCAGGATGCCTGGTCTGCCTGTCTGGTCACATTTAATCACAAACTAGTGATTTTTCATTTCTTACCTGGTGCTGCAATCCAATGACTCTCTGATGTAGCTGACATTTCAGGTGTTGTTCAGAAAGTGGTATTTCCAATGCTGATAATTTCATATTGTTATAGTCTCAGCACTTAGTGGAAATTCAGCTGTGGAAGTGACAAAGGCATTAAGAGTAAAATTTTGATAATGAAAGACATCCTCATATGTACTGCATGCTATTTTGAGAGGTGTAATTTTTCACCAAGTGATCTGCACATCCTGTAAGTTTCCACAAAATTTTATTCAAGCTCAAACTGAATAATAGAAGACAGCACAAAAATTAAAATTTGGGTGCAGAAATTTGCCATTAACCTTTTGTAATCACAGTTCCTCCACAAATTCCGACTACCAACATTTTCCCAATGATAAGTGCTGGTTTCTATAAATCCTGCTCTTCTCTTACTCTGAAACTCTTGGATTTGCTTCCATGTTACCTATTCACGGTAACATCAGTTCAGCAGAGGGTGGTGGTGTGAAGCAGACCACAAAACCACTTTTTTGGCCATTTTTCTTTCAGCTTTTCTTTTGCCCCATGAACAGCACTGCTGCTGCGGCAGGAGTGGAGGTTTGCTGTAACACTGGAGTAGAACAAGCAGCTGAGGGCAGGAATATTCTGCAATGCAGTGTAATGGACCATCCTGATTTTACAAACAATTTTAATAACTTCCTTGTAAAAACTGTATGGAAGAAAATCCACTGCTGCCACTAAAGTTTAGCCCCAGATACATGTAGTAAAACTGGCTAGAGAGGAAGAGATTTTTGTGGTCAGAATTGCAGCTTCAGTTGAAATTTGCTGTCTTATCTTTCTCACTGCGATAACTACCTATTCCTCTCCTACTGTATGCTTCCCAATTGGCCTCGTGTCCAGAAAATGAATTTTATTCACCCCAAACTCTGTGCTCATTCACATTTTAGGACACGATCCAAAGTCATTTGTCTATGCAAAATTCTGTCCTTAATTTCCTTTCAGTGAAAAAGTTGCCTAATAATTTGAGAGAGTAGGCTGAGTTCTCTGTATCTGAATTTCGTTTTGCACAGAGAATATAAAAACTGGCCTGTAAGCTTGCAGATTTATTGCCAATTTGTGTTTGTAAAACATTTTGACATCCTTGGATAAACAGGTGCAGAAATGCAGCATAAAATAAATCAGGGACTGGATAGTGATTTTAGAATCTCAGGAGTACTGTATAAAGCTATGGTACAATATTCATAAAGACTACCGAATAATAAAACACATCCTTCTATTCTTACATTCACCCCAAAACTCTTCACTGGACAGATAAAAAACAGGAAAACACCCATTTTTCCCCAAGGTTAATGTTGCATTTGTAAAAAGGAAAAAGGACCTGTTACTTCTGAAAGATATTTAAATGTTTCTTAGAATTTATATTTTCTAATTAAAATTAAGTGCAATTATGGAATGAAGTTTTCTTTGCCTTCTTGTATATCAGGATGATGTTAACACATTTTTGTTAAAAAAAAAAACCAAAAAGAATACAGTGAGTCAGAGGTTGTACATCCAGTTAAATGTTTCACTTTTTTAATTATTGACAGGGTTTAAGAACAGGTGTTATGATATTATGGAGAGTGACCCTTGCTAATGAGCAGAGAGGGGACTCTTTGTGGCAAAGTGAGGAGTACATAGAGAAAAGAAAGCCAAAAAGTGCTGAAAATATTTCTCCCAATCATGCTTTTAGCTCTATTCCTGCTACATCTACCTATTGCTTTGCCACCTTGTTTTCAAAAGGGTGGGAATCTGAGTCATTGTCTTGGCTGATGGTAAGCTCAACAGCTTGAAAATTATGAATCCAAAGGCCATTTAGGCTATGAGGAGAAAACTTAGGGCAGAAGTACCCCAACTAATGATAAAAGGTTGTTAATACCAAGCAGTCATAGCACTGTGATTTGCAAGTTTGTGGTTACAGAGGAAAACCTGTGCCATGACTATGCTAGCAAGAATGCCACAGAGAGGGTAGGGAATGGCAGTCGTGTACTGAGAACACCTCTGAAGCCAGGCTTGAGGACACAGTTTTATTTCAGTGTAATAGCTCAGGTAAACACCCTAATTCTGAATGCTCTGGTTCATGATGAGATCAAATACAGCATAGAAAAATGAGACTAGATATGCTTTGGGTCATACAGTAGAAGTTTCAGAAAAGCAAAATAATAAAAAGAATGAAATATTTACAGTTTAGCACCTCTTTGAAACTGCATAATTTTATGGCACCACTGGCTAACTTACGAATTTTTAGTTACACATTTAACTTTCACTTGTTCCAAAATCATATTAGCATACTCATTTTCAAAGGAAACAATTGCTTTTCAGCATGCTTCCTTTGTGCATACTGAAACACTCAAAAAAAACCCCTAACAGCATCAACTATACAATGCAATCAAATTACATTTTTCAGACAATGAATAGACAAGTGAGAAGGGACTCCAGCAAATGGCTTCTGAGGATTTAATGGGACCCTTTGATATAACTTAAGAATCAAGTGATTCAGTGCAGAGGAGCATATATGCAGCATGTCATACATTGCCTTGACTAATAAGAAAAAGGGAGCATATGGTTTTGGCTTTGGGTTTAGCAGTGAGGTTGGGTCAATCTTATCTCTGTTTTCCTCTACTAAAAGGGAAATGAGTGATTCTTTTTCTGATAAGTTTCCAGCTTCTGACAACTGTCCAGTCAGGGCCTCTGAAGCAGACTATTCTCTGCTTAGGAATGATAGACACCTCACTCACTTTCTTTATCATCCATGCACGAGATGTAAGCTAGAAGCAGTTAGTCATCTGTCATGCCTTTTCATATCTTCTCACGTCTTTGATTGGTGACCTGTCAAATGCCAGCTAGATTCAAAGATTTATTTTTAAACTCGGTTCCCCATGTTTAAGTACGTTATCAATTACCCAGTGTTTGAAGCAGAGACTTTGTTGTGACAGATCTGGACTTCTGTTCACACCAAGCAGAAGAATTTTACATTCCTTTAGGAAAGAAGGCCTTTTAGCTACTTATTCTCTACTATTTGAAAAAAAAAAAAAAAAAACCCAAACCAAAAACAAAAAAACCAAACCAAAAACCAAACCAAAAAACCCCAACATTTAATATCATTAAGTTAATTAATTTCATCTATCATCCTCATTGCTATACAAATTGATATGGCTACAGTATGAAGACCCAAAAGGTGGCTTTTAAGCATACATGTTTATTTCTATATATGAATGCTCAGTTCTTAACTGAGTCATACAAAGTTTTCAAAGTTATAAGATCCTCCAGTTTATCTATCAACTGCTGCATTAAAGATCTGCTTCTCTGCAAAAAATATTCCCTACTTTTTAACAGATTATTACATGAAATTTAGGTACTAATGATCACATATACACCTAACAACTGTCTACCTTTAAAAAAAAGACTGGTTTAACATTGACTTACTGTGTAATTTATGTTCTTGATGAATGCTGGAAATCTCGTGGGTTCTGTGCTTAAAAACATTAAAAGCATTTTCTCCCTTGAAATATGAATTAAACCCAAGACACTTTAACAAAAATATGTGCAAATACCTTACCAAATGTCCAGTCATTCCTAGCTGAATAAATCATGATTTCCTAGTAAACTGAACAAACTATGTGAAATGGAGTCTATAGTGATTGACCTCCTTACCAAAATTTAAATAACTTAGGTCTTGAAAAGTTACTAAATATTCTATTGTGACTACCAATCTCTTAAATTCAGTAATAATGAATTCATTAGTATATAGTACTGTAATTTAATCCACTGGACTTTATTAAATCAGGCAGATTTCTACTCCTGGTCACAATACCCCTCACTGCCTGGTGCCATTACAACATTTCATTCAAAGTTAGAGAGTTTTGTTAATTTTATTGCTTTCTCTTCTGGTTCTGGCTGTTTGTTTAAATGTGCTTCTTTCTGAGAGTAAGTCAAGCTTTGTAAAGGCCATAATTTAAGCTTTTTAATTGATTAGGTCTTTGCATATCAGCTAGAAACTTACTGGTTTATATGCTTTGTATATAGCATGGTATTTTTTTTCTTGCAGCCTACCCACATTGGGTGGAGAAACTTAATGATACTCAATTAGACAGTGGAGATCAGCTCCGATGGGAATGTAAAGCCACTGGAAAGCCAAGGCCCACATATCGTTGGCTGAAAAATGGAGTTCCTCTCTGGCCACAGGTACATTAGATGAGGAGTCACCAGTATGTTGCATGTTTCTTCTTTCATTCAGATAAAGTCAGTTAAAGATAGTACTGAAAAGTACTTCAGAAATTATTGTTTCCAGTGTTAGTGTATTAAGTGTTAGTATACAGACAGGGTTTTTATACGTCCCCTCTGAACCATCTCAAGCAATGTAAAATTGCTTTCACCAGCAATTCTCTGTAGTTCAGAAATATTTGGGAGATGGGACCTTCTGAGCTGTGTCTGCAACAGCATCTGCCATTGTACTATAATGTACATCTAAACAATCTCCATTATGTTTGGGGTTTTTTTTCTTTTATATGGTGGTATTATGCTATTTGTATCTATTTTTTTTTTCTGTATAAAAAGATAGTAACAACTCAGAGAAGTGCTGTATCTGCTGAATCAGATTCCTTCATATTTCCCCCAATGTTATGTTACGTTATGTTATTTACCACATTTTGTTTGCACATAATCATACTCTTCAAAACACTAGCAGGCTGATGTAAAAGGTACAATGACTATTATATTTTCATCAGTTTTCAGCTCTATTAATTCTCTGCAGGTAATAGAACTCACCATCAAGACCATTACAGTGTTCCATGTAAGACTCCTAGATGTAAAGTCCTTAACTACAGCCACCTGATACATTTTAGAATTGGATCTAGATAAAATTGTCTTCCTTTTAAAAGATCACTCATGACATGGCCTGCCTTTTATTTCACTCTGTTCTGTTTCTCTCACTGAATCATCAGCATGTCAGCCCATATCATGTGGGTTTTGCCTAGCTCCTTTCCATTTTTATAGTCACAAATTATTTAAAGAAAAGTTTTGTAAATCTATTTAGTGCATTTTTCCAGATTAAAATAAAGCTGTTCAGTTCTGGGAGAAAATATCTCCATTTGTAAATGAATTCACAGAATGGATTTAAGAATATAAAAGATGTAATGCCTTTCTTTTCAGTGAATGTCGCTTCTGTCTGTGAACATCATCCAATTATGCAAACAATGAGAAAGGAAACATAAACACAGTTTACTTTTGAAGCTGTGAGGCATTGCAAATAAGGTTATATGCCTTTACTTTATCCATTTCTGCCTTTTTAGATGGAGCTATTAGTCCTGAAATTCAAGCAATTTAAATATCTGTACTTTTTGGTTTTCTGATTTTCCAAACCATTAGTTGCACCAGGCTCTGCAATTTCAAATTAAATTTCAGTTTAAACTGGGGGCTTACAACAGAGAGAACTTTTTTCACAGTTTCCTCTGCATTCCCAAACACTCTGTTCCTTATCAATTTTTAAATAAACCTACATCGACCATAATAATGAAACATAGAGATGTTTTATAGCAGTTCAAATTATTCATTATACAGCTCCATGAAGTACACATTTCTATAAACAGCTATTAATGACCCTTTTCTTCCAGCTATGGTAATTATTTTCTAGTAGTGGACCTTTCAAATAAGAAATTTGCACTAATGATGAAGGCGATTGGACCCTTTCACTCTTACTCATGGAAGCAATCTTTTATATCTACTTTTATGAAAATCGTGCCATGACTGAAACCAAACATTTGCTAGAGATGTGAAGATCATCAGATATGTTACACCCACAACTGACTTCTTGCCTCATTAAGGTTCCTAGGATGAACTGCTTTTAAAAATCATGTAAAGGTAATAACAAACAAGCAGACAAAAGAAGGGTGTCCAAAGAAGGGTGTCCAAAGAAGGGCAACAAAGCTGGTGAAGGGTCTGGAGCACAGGCCTTGTGAGGAGCGGCTGAGGGAACTGGGGTTGTTTAGCCTGGAGAAGAGGAGGCTGAGGGGAGACCTTATCGCTTTCTACAGCTACCTGAAAGGAGGTTGTACTGAGATCAGTGCTGGTCTCCTCTCCTAGGTTACAAGTGATAGGACAAGAGGAAATCATAAAATCATAGAATCATAGAATGCTTTGGGTTGGAAGGGACCTTTAGAGGTCATCTAGCCCAACCCCCCTGCAGTGAGCAGGGACAGCTTTAACTAGATCAGGTTGCTCAGAGAAATGGCCTCAAGCTGTGCCAGGGGAAGTTTAGATTGCATATTAGGAAAAATTTTTTCACCAAAAGGGTTATCAAGCACTGGAGCAGGCTGCCCATGGAAGTGGTTGAGCCCCCGTCCCTGGAGGTATTTAAAAGATGTGTAGATGTGGTGCTTAGGCACATGGTTTAGTGGTGGACTTAGCACTGTTAGGTTAATAGTTGGAACCAGTGATCTTAAAGGTTTTTTCCAACCTGAACAATTCTATGATTCTATGATTCTAAAAGCAAGCCTTGGAGATAGTGAACTAGCACTGAAAAATATTTACCTTTAAATATTTTTTGAGTTTTTTCTGCCCTTCCCCATCTGCTTTATTCTTGTCATTCCTTATATAACAAGAAAAAAGTAAGCCCAAGGAAATTTGATGCTCAATTTTATTTTAGCTTAATAATGTCTTTTGTCTCTTTGCCTTAAGCCAATAGCATAGCAAATTTCCAGTGCCTGTTTGCTTTTATAGAACTTTTTTTTTTTTATTATTCCATTACAGAGCAGGGTTGAGATGGTTAATGGTGTTCTGATGATCCACAGTGTGAATCTCTCAGATGCTGGAATGTATCAGTGCTTAGCAGAAAATAAGTACGGGACCATTTATGCCAGTGCCGAGCTGAAGATTTTAGGTGAGTATTATTGAAAAAGAACAGACAGTTCTTTTTTTTTCCCTTTGATAATTACATTTGTTCTTGGTCTGTTACGATAAGGAACAGCTTCTGCCAGTCTAAACTGAGCAGAGCAGATAAAAGTGGGTTCCATTTTCTTCTTGTTATTTATGTATGAGTGGGTCCTTTGTTGCCCAAGAGAGCACAGGTCCTTCTCTTAACTGCAGATTTTCTTTCACAAATTACTGACTCAGTTACATTTTGTGACTCCTTGCTTCTTATATAAGGCTATTTCAGTTCAAATACATGGAAAAATATTTTTTACTCCTTTAAAAGTAAGTGGAGGAGAAGAAACTTAGAGAAAGCAAATATATTTTTAGTCTCTCTTAAAATTAAATTATTATTTCTACCAAGGCCATTATTCAAAGGTAATTAAGCATGATCTTAGTTTTAAAGGTGTAAAAATTTCCTATGAAGTCACCAGAACTGATTGAATACTGTAAATTACATGCTTGAGCTAATATCATCCTGTAGTAAAGCAAATACACTACATAGTGTTACCTAGAAATACAATAAAAATTTAATTATTCAAAAGTTGAAGTGGGGAGCTAATGAAGAAAAACTTGAAGCATGTCTTTCCAACACTCTAGTTTTCCTTAAAGCAAACTGTGGTAACACACAATGGGACAATAGTGATAAGAGGACTTCCACATGGTTAAGTGATACAGACTTTAAGAGTCTCATGATCTTTGTTAGAGTATGGTATAGCTGGAAGACAGGTGTCTGTCAAAGTAATTCAATGGCCATATGAGGGATTAGAAGTTTCTGCACTGCTCAAAACCTGCAAATTTCAAAACCTGCACCTGGGAATCATTCTTGTTAACTCCCAGTCAAATTAATAATAAAACTGAAGTTACTGAAATAATATACTACATTTGAACGAAGATTTGATTCTTCTGAAGAATAACCTATCTAGCATATTTACACTATTTGCTAGCTGGCCAGTGTTAGAATTTCACTGATAAGTCTTCAAAATATTTCTGTCTAGCCATAAATTAAACCCCACAGTCAGTAGTTGCTCCATTTCCCTCGCTTTCCTTTGTCATTTGTGATTCAGTCAGCAAATAGATCCCTGTTGGTTACTATGTTCTCTTGCTCTGTTTTTTCTATCTATTATAAAAAAGGTGTACCTATTATATCAGGTAGTTGTACACTTTCTTTGATGTTCTCTAATATCAGAAATGGCCATTATATGTTGCTGCAATAAAAATCAGCCTTTCACTTTGTCACTTGTGAAATTGTACCCCTGTTAAATTTTAACCATAATGTTGCATTAAAGAAGCAGTTATGTCTAATTTTCTGGATTATTAAAGGGAAAAGAACAGAATAAATTGTCCATATAAATAGCTCTGGTATGAAAATTACACAAAATAATGGTAGGAAATTCCTACATATTTGAGGCAATGGAGTGTAATATGTTCCTATATGTGTAGCTGAGATAGTTGCAAGGCAGGCTTTGTTTTTGCAAAACTAGTTTAAGAAAACCACAAACAAATGAGATTACTTGAGAACAGCTGTCCTTTCTTGGTGTGAAATTACAGTAATTAGAGTCATTTTGTGATGCATTTATTACCTTAGCTGATGTATTGTAATCAATGGGACTTCTTGAAAAGTGAAATACTAAGAACAAGACATGGGTAAATGTCTTCTATTAAGAAGTTCTCACTTTTCAATTCCCAGTATTCAGACAAATATAAAAAGGGAAAGCAGTAAAATTTCTGTAACAGTAGTACTTTTTGTAAGAATTAACTCTAGAGAGTGCATTTTGGATAGTTGTGGAATTTAAACTTTTTTTTTATTTTGAATTAGTTACTTCTAATAAGTTATCTATGAAATCAAAAAATTTTGGAAAAGGTGTAGCTAAGTCAACTAGAGTATTTAATTTCTAAAGCTGTTGGATTTCACAAGCAATCTTACTTTAGTATACTGATGTGAAGGACATCTTACTAATTCCTGACTGGATTAAGTTATAGACCTGCCATCCAGTCTTGGCTGCTGATTTCAAATATTTTGTAAAATTCCATCTAATCTGCAATGTAATAATTTCCAAGCCAAAAATGGAGATTCTATCCCCCAAACTAAATCTATTATTCTGACCTTCTACTAAAATGTAATGAAAGAGGAAGATGTGAGTGTTCTCTGTAGAGTTAACGTACTTCTTTTTAACAGCTTCAGCTCCCACTTTCCCACTAAATCAAATGAGGAAAACAATAATTATTACCAAGGGCCAAGAAGTTGTCATTGAGTGCAAGCCACAAGCATCTCCAAAGCCAACTATCACTTGGAAGAAAGGAGACAAAGCATTAAGGGAGAGTAAGAGGTCAGAAGCTTGTTCGGTAAACTAAATATTGCATTTGCATGTTTAATTCTGTGGTATGATATGAAAATACAGCAAGCGACAAGAACATGTATATGTTAGCATGCGTATGGCATAATTATTTTGTCAAGCTGATTTGTCTGACAGTAGTGACTTTATTGTTTCCACAATATTGAAATGAAAAATCTTAAAATTGTTCAGAGATGCAGACAGATGAAAAGAAGTTATTACTTTGGGGTTTTTCTCTATTTTATGTTACTCATTTAGAAAATGCTTCTGTTACACTGTAGAGATACTACAAATTTAGTGTATGAGGGTATTAAAAGAATAGAGGCTGAAGGAATCAGGAGCACAGAAAATATCAAATGTGCTTATTCATTTGAAATAATTTTAATGAGGCAGATTTGCAGCTTGATCACAATGGAAGTCTGTGTAAGAATAGCTTTAAAATGATTCAGAGAAGAAAAATACTATTCCATTATAGGATTTAATTATACAAGTAATTTCTGTACTCAGCATCACATCTGTTTAACAGAATATGTTTGATTAAGTAAGTTCTGTCCAGCTCTGTATGTAAAACATAGTTTAAGCACTGCAGGTTAAATGCCAGCTGTAATTGCACTTTACAGGATTGTATGTCTGTACACTAGAATAGTTTTGCCACCCTGCACATGGTCTTTAAGTACACAGAGCAATCTTATCTTCTTTCTGGTAATGTATGTGATTAAACCACTTAAACTGACTGGTATGGCATTAGTCAAAAAGGTAAAAGCAAGGCCTTTTTGTTCATTTGTGCAATACTGATGAAAAGAGTGGAGCGCATCTGTCCTTGTTAGCTGCAAAAGCCATTTCATTCAGGTGACTTTTATTTTTGTCTCATGTCATTTGTTTTTTTTCTGAGAAGGAAACATGGGTAACTTTTCATGCCATATTGGCTCTTTGTGGGGGCAGAGCGAAACTCCATTACATACATTTTACTAACAGGTATTAGTTGTATAGCACATATTGACAAGATATGACAGAACGATATTACAAAGATGCTGATAATATCAAATATTCTGAGACTGATGCCTCTGTGCTGTAGCAACACAGTTAACTGTTTTGACTACATGACCTCTCATCTCCACAAAACTCACTATGGTTTCTCCGATCACCACATGTAAATCACATTTTAATCCCAGACCAGTAAAGCATTTTGGTAATTACTTGATGTCTGTCCAAACAGCATAACTTTGAAGTTAAAATCTCCTAAAAATAAGATCTGGAGCTACATTTTTGGTATTTGCAGCTTTTGATACTTGCATATTTTGACAGAGGGAGGAACGGGTAATGATGAAACATGGAAGATAAAAAACTGGTTGAACTATTTCAAATCTTTGAGACACCTGGGTTGTGTTCAACTTAATTTGTAGTCAGTTGTTCAGGGAGTATCTTGTGTCATTCAGAGCAGTTTCCCTGCATCTATTGTTTATAGAGGGGTGGGGGTGAGGGGAATATCAGTTTCAAGTAAACTCGGTTCTGCCTCTACATACCATATGTTTTAAGCAACAATAACAGAGTCTGTTTGAAGAGGAGATGAGGAAGCCTATCATGATTTTGGGAAAGGAAGTGTAAATCAATGGGGGTAATATGTGTGTTTCCACATTTTGGGCACTGTGAGAAGGAATCATTGGAAGGGAACTGTGTAAAACATTTTAAAAAGGGAATAATCTAACATGATGAGCACATCTATATTCTTTAAAAATGGAAGTCTATCTAAGAATATCTTTAAAATGATTCAGAGAAGAAAAATACTATTCCATTATAGGATTTAATTATACAAGTAATTTCTGTACTCAACGGCACATCTGTTTAACAGAATATGTTTGATTAAATAAGTTCTGTCCAGCTCTGTATGTAAAACATAGTTTAAGCACTGCAGGTTAAATGACTGCTGATAAAAATCCCAGCAAAATAACAATTAGGAACTGTCATGTGATGAGTTTGCACAGAATGTTAAACCATCAAATATTAAAAAAAAAAAACAACAAAACATTCTGATTAAATAATAAGGAAGGGCAAGGATAGAACAGCAGAACATATTTTTTTCTTTTCTGCCACAGGTTACTCCTCTTCTAGAGTTCTTGTACCAAGTGCATGTTGTGTTTTATTTTTGCCAAGTCTGCCAGCCCAGAAAAGGAATTCTTTCCATTTCACCACATCTGTTAGAAAAGTCTCAATACAAAAGAGACCCTCCCCTCTACGGAGAAAAATAAAATCCACTTGACTAGTGGGTCTGTTATCATATAGTCCACCTCTTCCAACCTGTGGTGCCTCCTTAGATGTTCCTCCATACAACCAAAAGCTGGTTGACAGAAATATCTCAAGTGACATTTCCGTTTGTAACTGAGCAGAAGGCCGAGTTTGTTCCTGTGGGACTCATGGCTGGTTACAATTCTCACTGCAGTCAGACTTTGACTCTGGGATTTAATGCAGTCTGAAAGCCTCAAATGTTTCAGATTCATTCAAAAGGCTAAAGCCACTCACTTGGCAACATAAATGTGGAAAGAGTTGTCATGAGCTCCATCTTTTGGTCTGTTTTTACTTTGAACAAATTATCCAACTCAAGATCTTCATATTCACAGTCTGTCTATGCTAGGTTTGCTCTCCCTGGTGAGCAATCATTTTTGTGAGCAGTCAGATCATTTGATTCTACCTGGAAAGCATCTGCATATTATAAAAGCTCTTTTGAACTGGGTTCTGAATGAGTGGCAAGTCTGTAAGATAGAGCAAAAAAAGTAGGATATTCACAACTATTTGCTGACACAAAGTATCATTCTGAGTGTTACAATCTCATAAATGTTTTAAATTTGATGAAATTACTCCTATAGAAACATACTTATTTAACAAAGATTCTGAAGTATTCACAATTTGTTCTATTAACCAGATGTAAAGATCAAGACCTGCTGCAAAAGCCACATTTTAATAAAATAAAATATATGGTATTGGAGATCTAGTATGCAGAAGATTAAAACTTCCAAAGAACAAGGAATAGTCTGTGAAGCTTACTGATACAGGACATTTAATGATCACTATCTGCATTTGAAAGGAACTACATGTAAAATTCAAATCTCTTTCATGTATCATTATCTCAGTGAGTTGTTAATACATTGAAACAAACATAAGTTCATCAGCATTTTCACCTAAAAGTTAAGAGGAGAGGAAAAAAAGCTATTGTTATACTTGTATTTTGAAATTAGAACACACCTGAGCACAACAGCAACAGGAGTTGCGTCGGTAGAGAAACACATTTATGCTGCATTTTTTCATTAGTCATCTCACAATAATTAAAATTGTTAACTATCTTTACTAACCACTTATCTCTGGACTCTATTGTCTCATAGGCCTATAGATGGCTGTGTGTTGTTTATGGCAGCCTGTGATAATGTGTACTCTGGTTATTGATTTGAGCATTGAGTTTTTTAGTCCATAAGAATTTTGTAAAGAACTTTTGAACCCTTTAGTTCATAAGTAGTTTTGGTTTTATAGAAAAGTGGATTGTATTTCGATCCAAGTCTGAAAAAATAAGTTTATGCTTTGAATTGTAATAAAATTTGGTTGGAAATTTGATTTAGGTCCTAAATAGGAAGAATTTGGCCCTTGGGCAAGAGTACAGCGATCAACAAACATTTTTGTGAAGTTTCTGAAATATTCCAACCAGATACTTCCTAATCTATAGTCAAACCTTCATTTACTATTTTAGCATCAGCTTCGAAACAAGACCCAGACCCAGATTATTCAGATCAGAAAGCCAGTCAGAAACCTGTTTCTAATTAAATATTTTTTTAAACTTATGTATCAAGCCAAAGGAAGGCAACAAAAGTGATATTTAATAACATTATTTTATGTAGACAGTAAACTTTATAATGCACAATAGAATAGACTGGAATCTGCTGTCTGTTACTTCAATATAAATTATGAGTAATGCTAATAAAGTCAATTATTAAATTCTGGACAAGCACTTTTAATAAATTCTTTCAGTTCCTGTGTTCAGGCTTCTGTAAATTGCAGGTATTTTCTAATATTTTCTTACTGCACAAATTTTCATGAGCTGTAATCTCTGTTCCATCACCTTCTTAAAGTCACCTACCTTTCTTGTCTAGATTGCCCTGTAGTCGTTACTACAGCTGATGTTTAAATAGATATGTTTGAGGAGTCATAGGTATTAAAAAGCATTGTAAGTCTCTGTTCGTCTGTTTTTGTTCTTCTACATATTATATATACATACATAATATCCATCTCATTAAACTTATAGTGAATTTTCACACTAGCTCATTATTTCCATTACATATCCATTCATTATAGTTGAAATGCAATAATTCAAAAACACTCTAGCAGTGCAAAGAGTTCTATTCAGTCCCTATTTTTAATTCTCCATTCAGACCACCACAAAATAAAAAAAAAAAAAAAAATCGCACAATTTAACCAGCAAATGGGTAACAGGAAGTAGGATTTTGGGTAACAGGAAGTAGGATTTTTATACTGCCGGTTTTGTGCTGCTTTATTTTGCTTTTGTTCCTTTTCCTTTTGAAGCTTCTCAAACAATAATGCTTATTTTATCAATGTTTCTTGTATATCTCAATTTGTGTGCAGATTAATATTTAATCTAAAAAAAATCTAAATACAGTGATGTCTAAACATATATGTATGTATTGGCAATATAGTTCTGCATTTATTGACTCCCTTTCTCTATGGCACAGTCTAAGCTTTCTCCTTCATGTGACAGAACAAGCTTTGCAGAAAAACATTGACAGTCTCTGAAGGTTGGGTTCACAATAGATCACCATGAGCAGAACAACAGTGCCAGTCTCTCTGTGGCCATTGCTTAATTGCTCATATTCATCCACCTAGGTCCAAGGTTAACTTTGCCTGGGGACCTAAACATATTAAGCATTTCTGTGAGGAAAAGAAAATGGCAACAATACTCCACCTGCCACTTCAATTCAGCCACTTTTCATATGCAGCAATTAGTTTCCTGCA